AGCTCATAACCAGGAAGGCCTGGTGAGGCCTTTAACCTGGCGACCACAGTACGTGAGAGCTCGTATCCTGGTGACCACAGTATGTGGGAGCTCATAACCAGGAAGGCCTGGTGAAGCCTGTAACCCAGCGACCACAGCATGTGGGAGCTCATAACCAGGAAGGCCTGGTGAGGCCTGTAACCTGGCGACCACAATAAGTGGGAGCTCATAACCAGGAAGGCCTGGTGAGGCCTGTAACCCGGCAACCACAGTATGTGGGAACTATAACCAGGAAGGCCCCTTTGAGGCCTGTAACGTAGCGACCACAATGTGTGGGAGCTCATAACCAGGAAGGCCTAGTGAGGCCTGTAACCTGGCGACCACAGTATGTGGGAGCTCATAACCAGGAAGGCCTGGTGAGGCCTGTAACCTGGCGACCACAGTATGTGGGAGCTCATAACCAGGAAGGCCTGGTGAGGCCTGTAACCTGGCGACCACAGTATGTGGGAGCTCATAACCAGGAAGGCCTGGTGAGGCCTGTAACCTGGCGACCACAATGTGTGGGAGCTCATAACCAGGAAGGCCTGGTGAGGCCTTTAACCTGGCGACCACAGTATGTGGGAGCTCATAACCAGGAAGGCCTGGTGAAGCCTGTAACCCAGCGACCACAGCATGTGGGAGCTCATAACCAGGAAGGCCTGGTGAGGCCTGTAACCTGGCAACCACAGTATGTGGGAGCTCCCACAGATGTCTCTCCGTGGCCACCATAGCACCGACAGAACAGCAGATTGCTTGGTGGCCCGGAGTCCCGCAACAGATCGGTCTGGTAGGCCTGAGGACCACAAGGGCGTGCAGAACCGCACCTGCCTGACCTGCTGCCGTGTACGCTCTGTCATTCAAGCATGAAGATGTCTTGAGCAGCTTGGATGACAGGGTCAGAGCTCTTAGTGAAGAGGACCAACCAGAGACGAGATAGTTAGCCAACGTCTCGTCCACTGGCGGCCTCGACACTTATCCGTTCTCCACGGCTCCCTCCACAGCAGCGAAACTAGCCCGCTGATGCAGATAGAGACGTGAGGAGAACGGATTCTTCCATACCCTCTCGATCCCAGCGTGGAGATCGGAAACGAATGGAAGGCTCATCCGGGCTGGTGGCTTATGGGTGGGGAGGAACCAGCCATCCAAAATACCATGAGCGGGTTCCTCCCAGACGCGCCTCCACTGCAACAGCAATCTATCTGAGGCGCGCCCCATAATGTCAACCAGCTCAGCGTACACTGGGCAGGAGGGCTGAAATGATTCGGTCTCAACCAAACTGACATCCTTTTCTATATATATATATATATATATATATATATATTACAGCCAACTCCTGCCCTGCCCAAAGAGAACAGTTACAGATTCACCAAAGAGAGAGAGCGCTCATTTTCTCTCTTCTTAGATGTTCAACATTAATCTGTAACTCACCCTCGTCAGCTGGTAGATCATCCGCGAGGTTAACGCCCCTCTCCCGATAATCTGCCAGCTCCATCTGAAAGCTCCACGAGCTCAACCGCCACTGAGCCTCAGCCCGAGCGGGAACCGGAACCGCGGGGTTCAGATGCCGCGCCCACTTCCCTCGAGAAGTGGGTCAGACGAGAGCAGAGAGTTCTGAAAGAAAAACTCTCAGTTCGCGCAAAAAACTCCCTCGAGAGCTTCCCGCGAATGCTCTTCTCTCAGGCAGAACACGCACAGATCGTGTGAATCCTCCGGTGTCAAATATCTGGACACAAGTCGGCACACTCGCGCAAAGTGTTTCTCCACGTCTCTGCGCGCTTAATCGTTGATACTATCAAATAGACAAACAGTCCCTGAAGACGAAAAGATGTTGTCACGGTTTCAAGGCGCCCTTCTTATACATCCAGATTGACGCGCTCATCATTCAAGCTGATGATGCACGGGCTGTCGCCGGTCAACCTGATTACTGTGAGTTGATATTTGATTTCAGACACCTGTCACGCCTGAGGCGTTCCCCATAGCGTCATTCGACGTATTGTTGAGTTCCCTTCGAAAGGGAACTACTCAAATCCCTTTCCACTTCGGTATGGGTTTGTCTCTCACCTTTTCGCCAATTTCTGAAACGTTGCCGATAAGCTTTTGGAACGAGTTCATAACATTTCAAGACTGCCTGCTTTACGCTGTTATATTTCTTTCTGTCGACCGGTGCCAAAGCCACAAACGCCTCTTGGGCGCGACCCACTAATACAGTTTGCAAAAGCACTGTTTTGTCTTCATCATCCCAATCACGATCTGTGGCTATGTTCTCGAATAACGAAAAAAATATATCCGGTTCCCGTTCGTTAAATTTTGGCAGGAACCTTATCATCCCAGCTAGATCTGACTTACCGGTAGAATTTCGATCAATTATCCCCTCAGAAATCAATCTCAGTCTAGTTCTTTCCACCTCTCGTTCCTGTTCTCCACTTCTATGTTTTTCTGATTCCAACAAACGGTCTTTCTCTTTTTCATATCCTTCCAAACGTTTTTGCTCATTTTCCTGCTCTAAACGCTTCTCCAGCATCTCCTGTTCCTTCTCCAATTTAAATTGTTTAAATTCTAATTTCTTTTGCTCCAAGTCTAACTTCCTTTTCTCCAATTCTATATCCATCTCTATTTTCAACAGTTGTTTTTGTTGTTCAAAGGTTAAATCACTGGATTTAGGCTGCATTTTTAGCTTAACGACAGACTCAGAAATATTAGCAATCTCGTTTATTTGTATTTCTGGACTAGGACTGCATCCAAAAGAACGACCAGTAAATGTCGTTCTAGCGGGCGCATCCAAAAGAAAAGCTTTGTCTTTTTCCTTCATGCTCGCTAAATTAAGCCATAAATGTCTCTCCGTGGCCACCAGGGCTGCCATAGAACGGCCGACTGATCTGGCCGTCTCCTTGGTGGCACGGAGAGAAATATCCGCTGCCTGACGCAGTTCTTTAATAACATCATTGGTCACAACCTCCCCCTCACTCATATCTTTTAATAGATCTGCTTGATACGCTTGGAGGATAGCCATCGTATGCAAACATGATGCTGCTTGTCCCGCCGCCGAATAAGCTTTGCCCACCAAAGCCGATGTATTTCTAAGTGGCTTGGTGGGCAACGCCGATGTTTTAAAACACGATGCCGTATCAGGAGAAAGATGGCTCACCAAAACTTCCTCCATCCTCAGCATCGCCCCATAACCCTGACTCTTAGACCCAGTGATATTAGAGTACATAGATGTCTGGTGCGTTAGAATTCTCACTGACACTGGTTTATTCCACGATCTACACACCTCGGTGTGTAGATCGGGAAAGAAGGGCAAACACCGGCGTGGAGGTAGAGAGTGAGACGGTAAATATCTCTTGTCTAATTTACTCTTCACTCTAGTCTCTTGTTTTTCGACTGGCCACTCAATACTTAATTTTTCTACAGCCCGAGTCAAAACCTCCATCAGCTCTTCACTCGCGGGTGACTGGGATGGCGAGTCCCCGATCTCCACTGTGTCAATAGACTCCACATCCACACTTTCAACATCCAGTTCCTCGGAACTGGATAGCTGAAGTGATGGAGCCTCATCCCAGGCAGGAGAAACTGCAACGCGGACCCCCGCACCGAGATCTGAGGCGCTGGATCCATCCCCGCTGATAGATCCATTTGCGATCCCCACGACGCAAGCCTTCGCTGTGCCTCGGCAGCAGCGGGACCCGAACCGCGGGGAGCACGCACCGAGCCACTCTCCTCGAAGAGTGCCCGGCTGGAGCGGAGCGTTTTCATGGGCAAACGCTCGCAATGCTCACAGCCAGCCCCCTCGAGAGCTGACTAAGCATGCTGCACTCCCATACAGACAACACACAGATCGTGTGTATCCCCACCCGTGATGTAGCGAGGGCAGGGTTGAACACACTTTCTGAACTGCTGCTGTTTCCTCGCCATAATAATATATACATATATCGTTTTCAGACAGACACAACTTTCATACATAGAGCGCTTTGCTGAAGACTCAGAAGCTGTCGCGCTTGTGTTTCTAGGGTGCTTTATAGTTTCCTGGTCGATATGTCACCCCGCCCATGACGTTCCGTCTCGCCATTGTACTGATTTCATACGTGCTTCATGACTCATCACGCAGGGGCGTTCCCGTAGCGGTTACACGCAGCTCGAAGTTCCCTGAATGGGAACTATGATTCTGTATGACAGTATCCACACAGCGCGGTGATTGACAACAGCACTCGCCTTAAAACACTGTGTTCTTCCGCGCTGTTTCATGCCAATTTACAACCCACGTAAAGATGATAATTCTGCAAATAACTCCCATTGCAGATTTCGAACAGAGATGACTACAAAGAGGAAAAGCTACGGACTGCAGCTCTAAATGTGTTTACCAAGGCTGCATTTACTTCATTAAAAAATACAGTACAAAGATTCATAATGTAATTACATAATTTAAAAGAATTGTTTCCTATTTGAATACATTTTAAAATGTTATTTATTACTCCAGTCTTCCGTGTCACATGATCCTTCAGAAATCGTTCAAATATGCCGATTTGCTGCTAAATAAACATATCTAATTGTTAACAGTGTTGAAAACAGTTGTGCTGCTTAATATTTTTGAGGAAATCGTGATACTTTTTTTCAGGATATTTTAAAGCATACAAAGTTCAACAAGTATTATACTGAAATATATATATATATATATATATATATATATATATATATATAAATCTTTAAAGACATTATTAAAATGTTATTATACATTTTAACTGCCACTCTTGATCAACTTCAAAACAATCTTACTGACCCCAAACCCTTGAATGGTGGTGTATATTAAAAGTTTAGATATAAATGCTTTCCCAAAGCCTTTTAAAAACAAGTTTAATCTTTTAATAAAATATATATTTTTTTAATTTTCTTTATTTATTTCATTGTGTTTTGCGTGTAAAGCAAAGTAGAAAAAAAGTAATGTTTTACTGACTGAAAAATGTCTATTCTATGTGAAGTTTTTCTACCTTTTCCCCAGGCGTGACTGATATCCTCCATATACAGTGAATATATGCAGTGTATCCGTTAGGGAACCCAGGGGAGGAGAAGTTTCCAGTGCTGTCCTGAAGGCTCTCACCACATCCTGTGCACAAACCAGAGTCACAACCACTCACAGATCATTGACCTTGAAACCGGATCCTCTTATTGGAAATCAGTAGTAGTTTTGCAGATGGTAAGGTCAGTTTTATGGATCATGCTTTTATTTTAAAGAAATACCCATAATTCCAGCTAAGATTATATGACTGCAAAAACAAATGTTCACTTATAGGGGATAATTATACAGCGGATTCATTCTCCCACTGTAAATGGATAATTAAACTGATGTCATAGTCGCAAATGAATCTGTTAAAGCCTAACTTTAGAAGCAAGTGCAGAAGGAAATCTCGAAACAGTACAAAAAATGGCTGGGACGTAGGATTGCTCAACCATATCAAACAAAATTTGGTCAATATTGAAATCACACATGATTATTGTGACACATGTTATTTAACATGATTATAGGTGGCCTGTAATGATAAGAAATTACAATAATAAAATTCATTTATTTTAGATATCAGTCAAATGTATCAATTTCTATCACAATTATTGATAGAAAAAACTAAAAGGACAAATGAATACAACAGAACAAAAATACAAATTAAATAGACATTGCTTTAAGTTAAGTTTTTCAGAAAGATGTAACAGTGGGATTCAGTCAACAACAGAAACTGAATAAAGTAATCAAAATGTAAAATAACACTGCATACCCTGTACACGGTGTTCCAAATTACTATGCAAATTGGAATTAATTGTCATAAACATTTAAATATTTTGTTTTTAAATCAAACTCATGGATGGTATTGTGTCTCCGGGCTCTTTGGATCACTGAAATCAATCTCAGACCCCTGTGACAATTAATTAGCCAGGTGAGCCCAATTAAAAGAAAACTACTAAAGAAGAATAATGTTCCACATTATTAAGCAGGCCACAGGTTTCAAGCAATATGGGCAAGAAAAATGATCTGTCTGCTGCGGAAAAGCGTCAAATAATGCAATGCCTTGGAGAAGGTGATCATCGTACTGTAAAGAGATTTGTGGTTGATTCAGAGCACAGATGGGTTCGTGCAGATAAAGGCATAATGAGTAAGGTTACTGCTAGATATATTCATCAGATTAAGAGAGCAGCTGTTAAAATGCCATTACAAAGCAGCAAACAGGTATTTGAAGCTGCTGGTACCCGAACCTCAAGGTGTAGGATCCTCCAGAGGTTTGCAGTTGTGCATAAACCTACTATTCGGCCAACCAATGCTCACAAGCAGAAATGGTTGCAGTGGCCCATAAATACATGAAGACTAATTTTCAAACAAGTCTTGTTTACTGATGAGTGCCGTGCAACCCTGGATGGCCCAGATGGATGGAGATGGTTGGTAGATGGCCACCAAGTCCCAATAAGGCTGCGACGCCAGCAAGGAGGTGGCGGAGTCATGTTTTGGGCCGGAATCATGGGGAGAGTGCTGGTAGGCCCCTTTAGGGTCCCTGAAGTTGTGAAAATGACCTCGGCAAATTATATAGAGTTTCTGACTGACCACTTTCTTCCATGGTACAAAAAGAAGAACCATGCCTTCCGTAGAAAAATCATCTTCATGCATGACAACGCACCATTTCATGCTGCAAAGAATGTGCCATTGGCTGCTATAGGCATAAAAGGAGAGAAACTCATGGTGTGGCCCCCATCCTCCCCTGACCTCTTCCCTATTGAGAACCTTTGGAGCATCCTCAAGCAAAAGATCTATGAGGAAGGGAGGCCGCAGTTCCCATCAAAACAGCAGCTCTGGGAGGCTATTCTGACCTCCTGCGAAGAAATTCAAGCAGAAACTGTCCACAAACTCACAAGTTCAATGGATGCAAGAATTGTGAAGGTGATATCAAAGAAGGGATCATGTTAACATATAACTTGCCCTGTTAAGATGTGTTTGATTTAAATAGCTTTTGATTTCAGTAAATATGATCTCCTTATGCTGCCAATTCAACAAATGACCATTTGCAGTTCTTTACAACCTATGAAATTTTTTCAAACTCTGCTCCTGCATAATATTATGGAACAGTGCATTTTCAGTTTTTTTTATTTTTGAAAAAAAAAAAAATACTGTTTTCGTTGGCTGGTTTGTTCTATGAAATTCGACTTATACCAAAAATGTTGGTCACTTGAAAATTATACTGTCATTTGCATCGACTATTTAGGAAAATCAGTGTAAAATATAATTTGCATAATAATTTGGAATGTGGTGTATACATAAAACATAAATTCATCCTTATTAATAGTAGTAAAAGTACGAGTGAAATTGGCCATCAACCTGTCCATACAAACATATATACGATATGGCAAGGAAGTAGACAGGACAGGAAGACAGGGAATTGAGGAAAATACAGCATGACATGATGAGAGGTGAGGAGAAAAAGGCAACCCCCAGACTATGCTCCTGTAAGGAGTGCAGTGTGGGAACAGGAAAAAATGTGTAAACCTGGAGAGTCGCTAAGCCTGGCATCACAATCTAGGTGCCTCAGTCCTCAGAATTGTTATAACGATACACAGCAAGTTGCCATGGAGAAAACCTTGATCAGGTCCCAGACAGAGTCAACAATCACCAGGGGTCTCATTTATAAAACTGTGCGTAGGATCCTTACTAAAAGTGTATGTGCGCCAAAAAATATTCAGATTTATAAAACCGTGCGTACGCCAGAACCTGCGCAGAATTCACTTTATAAATCCCAGTCAGTGGGAGATTTTGCGCATGTGCGTCTCCCTTAAATAACCATATATGGACCTTACAATGCCTAGTTTAAATATGCTTATCCTCATCTGCATATCATTTGCATATTATTCATTCACCTGATAGCATGTTAAGGTACAAGACGTTAGTAAAATATGAAATACAATTTTTTTTTAGTAGCCTATATCCTTGCCTTGTTTTTGAATGAATAAATCAAATAAAAAGTAAAATACGTTTAAGAGAAAGATTTTCTCAATCTTTTCCACTGGCCAAATAGTATTTTTAATTAATTTATATTTTTAATGGAAACAGATAGACATGGTTGTGCATTATTTGTATGGAACTATTTTCTCAGACAATCTGCTATTATCATGATTAGCAAAACATGCCAGAGGGAAAGTGTTCAAAAGCATTGCATCCATAACATATATATATATATATATATATAAATATAGTATCTCCTCAGTAATGATTTCATGTAGTTTAAGTGTTTAACTCCATTATTGAGAATGGCATACTTAATCTAAATGTTGATATCAGAAGTAAAATAAATCATTCTTTCAGTTATTTAAACTGTTATTGAGAACATGCACTGTATTTGTTTTAGGACGATTAAGATTTACGGTTTTTACATACGATTTTTACTTCATCTGCCGTTAGATTATAGTATATATGTGTGCAGGGCTTGACATTCACTTTTTTGCTCACTAGCCAATGTGGCTAGTGGTTTTCCAAAGTTACTAGCCACGCAGCACTTTTACTAGCCACATTTTTGTTGTTGGAAAATTATATGATTAAAGTTGACACAATGGGGCTTAAAACTTGCTAAAATGTACTAATATTATCATTAGCTCTGATAATGTTGTAGGCCTAAAGTTCCTTTTTTTAAAACATGTCTATTAAGATAAACACATAAAATAGCTTCTTATTGCATTTAATAAAAGTGCTGCATCTTTTTTTACAGCAGTAAATACTGTAATATAGAGTAGAACAATTATCGAGCAACGAGCAAAGAATATATTTTTTTTTTTTTCTGAGAAAAAATCCACAATTAAGGCAACGGGATTAAAACTTTATATAGCCTATTTGACAGTTTTGGGGATGGGGACTTTGGAATGTTTGTTTTGCATCAGCATTTCCTCAGAGCTCTGACTTATTAATTATCATCAACAAGTAGCCTATAGACACACAGGTGTTTATTTCCAGATTATTCCCAAAAACGCATCTCCTGCTTTCTTTCATGGCATGATTAACTTCATCAAAACATAGAATTAACTCTGGAAAGATAGTTGTGATATGACCTGACATAAGGGCAGCTACCGTGTCCCTTAATCATGAAGATTATTTTTTTCTATATATCGGCCACGCACACTCACGAACTGACTGAACGCTGTGTTGATATGTGTGTGCACGCGACCAGTCGCGTGATGATCGTTTGACAAAATTCTGGATATCATGTTGCGATATCATATTTGGCCCGCGCACCCTCGCGCAGCGGCACTGCAGGAGAGCGTGAGACGTGCCTATGTTCTGGATTCTCCTGCTATCCACAAGTTTCCGAGGGGCGCTCCTGTAAAAAATAAAGTGGGTGAAACTTCCGGTGAGGCGGCGGAAGTAGCATTCCAATGGTGTTTTGTGTGTTAGTTAGCGATGAGGCTAGCTGTTTTTCTGAGAATTATTTTACTATTTAAAGACGCAAATCTTTATGAGAGATGTCGTTACGAAGCTCAGGGACAACATGTGCTGTTCGCGGTTGTATGTATAACCGGACTAAACTAATTATGTGATTGTTTTGAACACGTCTATGTTTTGAACATAAGCTGAAAACGAAATCAGAGTGATCCTGCCAACGACTGTAGTTTCCATCACCTCCCAAAAGATGACGAATCTTCCTGTGTACATTTGTTTAAATTCTTAATATTCTATAAACTCTATCAGCATGTGTTTGGCTGTTCGCTACTGATGTTACACCTAAACTCCTAAAAGATCAAAGCCTGTGTTGACAGAATACCAAATGTGCCAGTTAATGTATTCAAGTAGCACATTCATTTATAATTTTGAATAAACTCCAAAGCACAATGACTACGTGTTTTTTTTTTAATTTTAATTGTTTGTCAGCTCGCACAACTGTCTGTCACCATGCCTTGATGAGTATTGATTATTAATAATGTTATTATAATACTCCCAATCAACTACTGCGGAGGGTAAAGGTACTGTTATTTCACCCTTTTGAATTTCGTTGAGGTTGTGTTCCCACATCGTTAGCTAGTTTGGATCGCTATAACTTGAATGACTGTCAACTGTTGAATGAATGAGTGTCAAGCATGTCAAGTCGCGCTTTGTTTACTTTGAACCGGAAGTCACGCCCACTTTTGACGCAAGGCCTCATGGGACGTAGGAAACTTGTGGATTAAAAAGAGCGCTATATCATCACTAAGGTACGGTGGCCGAGAGAGCTCACCGCGCTGCAACCTGATGAAGACAAATGCAAATTCAAAAAAACGTGTGCAACTATAAAAATGCATTCAAATACAAAAATACATCCGCAAATTAAGAAAAACATCTTCATCAGTTCCACAACACACCTGTGCTCCAAGTACTCACAACACAACCAAATACAGAAACGCGCTGCAAACGTTCACAAAACCACCAAATACAGAAACGCGCTGCAAATAACACGGTCCACAACGGAAATGTTTCCGGGGAACGTAAGTGACGGACCCGACTGGGACTTGCTTATTGCTCGTGAGCTTCCCTATGCCCTACTCCCTTCAAAGGGCAGACGGTAGGGGTGTAACGATTCACTCGTTTTCTCGATGCATCGATTATAAATCCTGGCGATGCATATGCATCGATCCTGAAACATGTATTTTGAATCGTGAATCGTTTATTTACGTGAATAATCGATTTAAAAGGCTAAGAATCGAATTAATCACGATTTTATATCGATTCAGTGGTTTAAAATATATAAACACAACCTTAAAGTGTTCCTGGTACAAGCTGCCTCATCCGCATTTGATTGGTTTCAGGCGTTCACACACCCCTGATTTCTCACGCTGAAGCCCGGTCGGTCAAATGCCTGAAAGATGAGTTTATCTTTCTACCTGTTGAGCTACTCATGTCGTGATCAGCTTGTATTACCGCAAATTAGTTAAAATCTCCCGGAATCTAGAGCGAGCGTGCATACGAGACACAGGTTGTGCTCCAAACCGCGTATCGCGCGTTCACACACGGCTGCACGCACTCGGCAGAGAGGGAAAGCGAGCGCGAGACCACCTTGCGTGTACGGAGAGTCCATGTAATAAATGAATGAAAGCGTTTTATTTCATAGTGCCCACGCAATGGCATGGCAGCTTTATCAATGGCTTGAGCGGTTTGCCTCAAAACTATTGCTTTCTCGACAGAGAGCTCAGCTGGAGAGCTCAAACATGGACTGCTCAAAAATCTGTAGTTAACGTTATGAAAGCATGAGAGCTATGGGACCGAGCGCGAGCAAAATCCAGTGAAAAGATGATAACGAGTGCACTGAGCGAGGACGCAAAATGAAACTAATGAAAACGTCTCCATTAATGTGTGCATGGTCATTTAATGCAATACTTTAAAAGCCTTTTTCAAAATATTTGCTGTTTGCAAATGCTAATTTGTAGGCCATTTAATTTTTTTTATAATAATATATTCATTAAAATTAAAAACAAACATGAACTAACATTAACAATGGACAAAATCCCCACTATCTGATCCCCGAAGGCCGCTGTAGGCTAATTCAAACCCAGACAAAGATGGGTGAAGCATTAAAATAATAATATAATGCATATAAAAAATTAAGAATCGAATCGAATTAATCGAAT